GGGGGGGTTTGTCATAGACGTTCCCTTTTAATATGCTGTCATCACAAACTCTGTCCTTCTTCCTGAACCAGTTTCTATCCTCACCCTTTAAGATATCACCAGTAACTTAGGTGACCCACTCTTATACCAATTGTTGATATAGTGAGGTCAGGGTAAAAGTGCAGAAATAAACAAAACACAAGTTTTCTCTTTTCGAATTCACTAGAACAAGAATGTCTTACACCAATCTTTTCTATTACAATAATCATTTAGGATTAGATCAATCCTAAGTTAACACTCACCCTAGAGCCTAGACTTTTTTTATCAGGATCACCCAAATCCCGAGCTAAACTTCTCCTGACTTTAGGCTTCAATCTTCCAACACTCTGGAAGTACATCAATAACTACGTCAGCAACTAACGCAGAACATCGATACAAAAAGCTTAATCACATAAACACAAAAGATCTCTCCACTTTTCTTTTTCCCAGAGACACCATTCTTCATAGACGCACGTCCTCCTTGTATAGATACCAGAACTTTCTCCCCAAGTTCTTCCAAAAACAACTTAAGCAATTTTCATATTTCTCTTAAGGAATAACTCTCTTGCCTTTTCCTCTTCAAGTAACATATTTATCTTTAATGTAAATATCCCAATAAATATATTGCTTCTTCTCCAAGCTTGAGAAGTCTACGGACATTACAAACCACGAACTTCAACATAGTCCATCTTCATGACATACACATGTACTACCTCCTGTAGTACTTCACGAACTGGCACATAATATACATCTTCAAAAAAGACTTATTTTTTTTTGTTCAAACTTATTTTGTTAAAAACACATGTTTTGTAAGGTGAATTATGAAAATATTCTTAGTGGAAAAATAAATAAATAATCAAGTTAGCTTTTTTATAATAATTTATCAATAAAACAATTAACTTTATATGCGCCAAACTGACTGTGCTTTAAACGCATCATAAGATAATAAAATTGAAATATAATATAAAATGTACAGTTTTAATAGTATGTTACTGTTATTTCATTGCACGTAATTTACTGCAAATCTATGTTTTTATTTTATATTTTTTGAACAGAAGAAATTACAGAAAAATAATAAATGTACACTTTTAATAGTATGTTACTGGTATTTCATTGTACGTAATTTACTGCTAATCTATGTTTTTATTTTATATTTTTGAAACAGAAGAAATTACAGAAAAATAATATATGGAAGAATTTCACTTCTATCTTCTATTTGGTATTATTATTCATGTTTACCTCCTCTAAATGTATGGAGTTATCTATGATGCTTGATGATGCTTGACATAGGATTTGTTACTCGGACTAGGTCTGGGGTGGAGTAAATTCGAGTTCTAACAAGAATGATAAAAAGATTAGTACGAAGATAAAAAGAAAGAGAAGATATTGTTAAGTACCGTTTTGTGACAATAAAATATAATAAAAGTTGATTTTTGTCTATTTTAACCAAAAATTATTGTTTATAGTGGAGAGGTGAATTTTAGATTAAAAAGTTTAATGACAATAAAATTTTATAGAAAATACAGATTAATTAATATTAACACATATTTATTTACTTTAGATATAAATTTTCAAAAGGAACATACTATACTTCTGGCTCTCTTTCGAGAACTCTAATTTTTAAAACATATATCTATAAGGATGATTGGTTGGAATGTAACTAATGATTTTAATTTTATTTTTTTATTTACAACCATATAAATCACCAGTAGTTTTAAAGTTAAAGAAAAAAAATAGATATATGAACCTTATTTTCTACAGTAAAAAAAATATTGACGTAGGATTGTTATATGAATATCTTTCCTTTTTATATATATATTTTTTTAAATTTCTAGAGCTATATTAAATAAATCTATAACCAAAAAAATATTATCACAAGATTCTAATTCTATAGTAAAAATTTGACAGGTACAGTCCAACCAATTTCTCTTTATATCTCTTATCATATATATAGATCCCTCAATTTCAAAATTGGTTCTTTTCTGACAAAAAAATAAGTCGAATAATTAGACTATTCTAATTGTATTTCTACAAAGAAATATGAACTCTTTCAAGAAAAGATAGAGATATTGATTTTTTTTTTTGGGAAAATTGTAATATAGAACAAAAAGACTAATAAATTGTCCATATGCCATAATATGAATTATAAGTTGTCCAATTAGTATATTTTTTTCTGTAAACCCAATAAAACCCCTAATCTTAACTCAAATAATTTGTTATTTGTTATAATTATTAAAAAGAAACTTATAATTAAATAAAAAATAATAAGCAAAAGGGGGAAAATAACAAAATGGGGAAAATGTGTCCCAATATCGTTTTCCCCCAATTTTCTAACCCTAAATTTCTCCTTCTTTGGCGATAGAGAGCAGAGCTGACTCCAGAGCTCGCCGTCGCCGATGTTCCTTCTTCTCGATAAGACTCCGGCAATGTTCTTCTTCTTAATCGAAGTCTCAGGCACCTCGTGCTCACTTCGCGTCTCATTCTCAAGTAAAACACCGAGCACTGAATCTCGTGCCCTGCCGGAAACTGAAGCTCCTGCCTTGCACCTCTGCAATATACACTCTCAAGTCTAGTTCAAGCAAAACGATCGAGATTTTTCAGGTTTGTTCAAGGAGTTGTGATTCTTTTCTTTTTTTTGCATGTCTTTGTATCTTTAATTTGAGTCATTTTTACTCATATTTTGATTGTGATAGGTTTGGAATGTAGTTTCTATGAATATTTTGAGTGTCTATGTTATCAAAGTTTCATTCTTTTTATTTTTGTCATCAGTTTTGCTCTTACAGTTTTACACTTGATTTTTTTCATCGGGTTTGGTATTAAAGTTTCATAATTGTTCATGTTTGTCATATGTTATCATTTAATTTTTTTTTTACCACGGATTTTGCTATTAAAATTTCAGGCTTGAGTTGACATAGCTCGGGTTAAACATGTTATATTGAACTTGTATTGAGTTGTGTAAGAACTCGTACTGAGTTGTGTAAGACAACCTGGAATGAAATTGTTACCAAGATGTCTTTTTACCGAGTTGGTGTCTCATATATATATACAATTGGCTTGAGTTTTACATCTAAATATCTTCTAAGCTATGTAGTTTCGGTTTCAGGTTTTTTGTAGGACTTGTGAACATAATTTCTCATATCTTCTCTCTTTGATTTAAGTGTCTTTAATCCTAATATGAATATAACATGTTTATATTATTGATTGTGTGAATAATGTAGTCTTATATGATAGCAAAGTTTCATAATTTTTGATGTTTATGTGGTCTACCAAACTGTTAACTCACTTTTATCCAGTTTGTGTTGTTTTATCTCATGTCTGATTTATACATTATGAATGAGTACTTACTGTATTTCTTTCATTGTTCGCAGGTATGACAATGGATCAATTGCCTAAGTGCATATTCAAGTTAACGTCAACAACACTTGCCGAGCTACAATCCTTCACTTGGTGAAAGAGTCCGTTCCAGTGGAGTACTCGGATGTCTTGGAGGATCCGCTCTTTTCTCAAGTCATGGCCATTAGTGATCACAAGCTTCGCTATTTTGGTACAGTGATCCACACTTTGGTTTGTAAGCAGTTTCTGACCACAAAGCTTCATGAGTTGTGGTTCCATTTTGCTAGAAGGCCTCTGAGACTTTCAATGCAAGATTTCTATGCGATCACTGGTCTGAAGTATGAAGACGAACCTGACTTAGATATTGATAATTTGAAATCTGATAAAGATATCTCTACAACAGACCAGGAAGGTGCATCTGAAGAAGTGTAATACGTGGTCTCATGTCGATAGGCTGAGATTGGTGTACTTGTGTGTTATTGCTGGTATGGTTATGGCGAAGGATGAGAAGGTATGGATACCACACATGTACATCAAGCTCGTGATGGATTTTGAGAAGATGAGGAAGTACCCGTGGGGACTTCATTCCTTTAAAATGCTGGTGAGTTCCATTATCGATACTAGGAACAAAGTGAAGACCAAGAAGAGTTCTGTTATAGACGGATTCTCCTATGCATTTCAGATTTGGATGATGGAGGCTATTCCAGACATTGGTACTCTTTTGGGTCAAAAACTTGAACAAGGCGTCATCAGTATGAGATGCAGAAATTGGAAAAGATCTTGTTAAATTTCCTTTGAAGATATTACTAGCATTGAGTCTGATTTCACCTCCACTATAAGTTGTGATTTTTTTTTAATGTGATTTAATTCATTTATCTTAATGTATGTGTCTTTACCTTGTTTATTAGTTTATGTTTTGTAGGGAGCTTTGTTTCCATCCATCGCTTCCAACGGAAACTTCCCACATGTTATTGTTCAAGATGAGTTTGCACAAGCGGGTGAGATGAATGATGAAAGAGTCAATCATTGACATGTACCGGAACAACTATGATTGGAGTAAGCATGTATGGGCTTATCATGAACCTCGACACTCGTACGTGCCTAGTTCTGATGAAGAATATACAGAGCAGAAGAGATTGGAGAAACAAGTGAGAATGAAATAGAATAAAAAACAGAATCCGCACTTGCGCTTGTTGAAAGAAAGAGGAAAAACTTTTTTCATTATACTGGTGCTCAGTCAAGGAAGAAGAAATTACTCACCCAAAGATCATTCAAAAAATACAGAGAGCTTGAAGAGGAAATGAAGTCGTACATTCATGAGATGTTTAAGGCTTCATTCACTTCCTTAGCGCTTGAGGTACGCGGTACAACTGAAGACCGGTTTACGAAATTTTAGGAGAATCTCCTCGCATATCTGAATCCAGGTCTTTCACATGGTCCTACTCCTACTGCTACTCCTAGTCCTCATGTTGGTGCTACGGCTTCAACTCATACTCCGACTGATGCTCCTGGTGCAGCTACGGCTTCCACTTTCACCACTCTTGGTGCAACTCCGGCTTCGACTCTCATTCCTGATCCTTCTAGCAGCAGAGCTCCTGCTTCTTCACACAGTGGAGGTTATCCTCAAACTGGTGGTCCTTCAAATGCTGCCAAGAGAAGGTCAAAGTCAAAGGTAACCAAGTAATAAACCTCTTTTGATGTCATGTATTGTACTTTTGGTTTGTAATGTAAAGATAGGGATTATGTTTTTGTTTTGGCTGGTTGTAATATTGATGTAAGGATGATGGACTGTTTTTGTTGTTTGTAATGTTAATGCAAGGGTGATGTTAACACTCAGGTTTGTTTGTCGAAACTTAAGAAACTAAAGTAGAGAATAAAGGGGATTAGGTTTCTTTCTCTGCGAATTCGTGGGAATCTAGAAACAAAATCACAATGTCCATTTTGTCAACGTCGTCTGCTCGTTTTCCTCAAATCTCTACTCATGGTGTCCCTAGAATATGTTGGTGTGGCGAGGGCATAACTACTTTTGATTCATCAACGGCGGAGAATATGTATCGATGGTTCTATCGATGCGAAATAGCATTAGATGTAGGTCCTTATTTTGATTTCGATTTTGCATATTAAACCATTGTATATCACGTAGATCTACAGTTCAAAATACAATACTGACTTATTTTTTTTGTTCATTTTGCGATAGAAAAACTTGAGTATCATCTATTTAAATGGATTGATGAAGCTTTGATTGACGAGATACGAATGGTGGATGAAAAATATGAGAGGGTTGCTGAAGGGATTACTAAGTTTCAAGAAAGAGTTATGGAAAAGGTGAAGTCCGAGATGGTTAGAGTGGAACATGAGATATCGAAAAGGCTCAATGATAAGGTGAACTTGGAGATTGCTAGAGTTTCTTAGGAGATGAAACAGAAGCTAAAGATTGCGACGGTAGCTATGGTAGTTGCAGGAGCAACCGTACGAATATGGACTTCTCTTACTGTATGAGCATGTTCTAGTTGTTGGTTGCTTGTTGTCTGAGTTTGATCGGTTCAGAATCTCTTGTTGTCTGAGTATTGTTTTCATTATGATCGACTAGTATACACTCGAGTGCTTCTTGTTTACAATATTTGGTTGATTATAATCAGCTTCAGTTCACAATCCATTACTTATTGTTTGATTTCTGTGTTTCAAAGCTAACCTCAGTTTACAACTTATTGTCAAACAAATAACATTAAAATCAAGTAAACCATATCCAACAACAAGAAAATTCGAAAACAAGATGAGTAATGTAACCAACACCATAATGAAAAGAAATGAAAAACATGAAAATCCGGGACAAACACAAGACTAAAACATGAAAATCCAAAACAACGACATAACTAAATAGCTCTGTCACATGTAACCAACACCATAATGAAAAACATGAAAATCTGAAACAAACACATGACTAAATAGATTTGTCACATGTAGCCCTGTTATGTCCCGACTCGCCACATCGACTGCACTTGCGCCTCTTCTTTCCTTGAACTCGTTGCGATGAACGGAGTTTGTCTTCAACTCTCTCATATCTGCATTTACTTCTTCTTCATGCTCCTCTTCTCGAATCAGAAGGTAACACATTAGCATTATGAACATTATCTGGAATAACCCAACTATCCTCAGGAATACTTATTGGATTGATAGTTTCTTGATAAGCTGTTCTTCAAGTAGAAGTCGTGTACATGTCATCGGTTAGTGAGGATGGGGCTCTCCCAACTGTTAAACCAGCCTTGATTGCGTGTCTTCATGGGATTTTCAGTAGGTCGTATTTCTCACATGAGCAGGTTCTTCTGTCCAAATCAACCAGGCAGTCGATTGTATCTCCACGAACCAAAAAAACGATGCTCATTAACCGGCTGGACAAGAAACGTGTTACCCTTGGTAATTCGTCTATCTATATTTTGTTTGATGGCAATAGTTAATGGTTTAGACTGCTTCATGTTTCTTGTGTGCGTTCGAAGAACCAACGAGTAAGCATCTCTCTGATGTTATCCAACAAAGGAATGACTGGATACTCTCTTGGTGAGCACAAAGCAGAGAAATCAATCCAACCACTCCCTTTCCTCTGTAATCTGTGACCATATTATTCAACAAATGTTGAATGCAAATTCCGTGTTGAGAAAGAGGATACACATTCTCAAACCCCTTACAATGTTATGTCGGACAGAAAAGTAAGAGAACACTCATCTGGAACAACAACCTTTAGTTGTCTGAAAAACCAATCCCATGAACGATCATTTTCTGAGTCTACAACCGCCAAAAGTTATAGGGTACAAGTTGGAGTTTCCATCTAAAGTTGTTTCAACAAGTAACACCCCTTTGTATTTGCTCTTCAGAAAGGTCCCATCAACAACAACATTTTTTCGCATGGCTGTGTAAAAACCTCGTATTGATTGCCCAAAAGAAACAAACAGAAATCTAAATTTACCATCAACATCAGTTTCATAGAAGGTGTGTGGTCCTAGATTAACTTCTTTTAGCATGTGCAAGTATCTCAGAATTTTTCCAAAACTCTGCTCCGGAATATCTCTAACCACATTAATAGCATAGTCACGAGAATCTCATGCTAATGATTTAGATATCTGCATCCATGATCCATTCTCATAATCTGTATAATAACATTAGTTTTGGGACTTTCTTTGATACCATTATACCTATGCATTATGAGACTCCCAATAGTTTTTGCAGAAGATGTCTGACCACCATTACTCATACTTGAAGCAGCACATGTGTGATTCGCCACATATTTTTTTATTATGAAATACGTGGATCCTGATAACTCCTCAGACGAACACTCCACTTTCAGTTGTTGTCAATGCATCGGATGTACCAAAGATTTCTATCTGATTTCACAACTTTGTAATCGAAGTTATTCTTCATTGCTGAAATTTCCAATGATGCTTTCGACTTCGATTTGTTTTCCAAAGTTTCACCTCTCTTCACAACATCCATCAAAGAATACGGAACACTTTTTCCACTATCGTCTTCTTTTCCTGTTAACTCGACACCAACATCTTCTTCCCAGTCGTTCGAGTTTACATTGTCTTCAGCATCTTTATTCAACTCAGATGAACTACCAATATCATATCGAGGTAAAAACGAGGAAGGTTCACCTTGCTCACTAAAACGAGTTTTGGAATCCTCTTTATCAACCTCAATGTTGTTGTTGTTTCCATTGATAGGTGAAGTAGACACACATAACATTGGCGAAGCTTTTCCACACACATATGTAAGAAAATTTATGACTTCCGGATCATTCTCAATGATAACTGGGGGACAATCTATTGAACTGATTAACTCAATAGGTAAATGGCTTAACTCAAGCTCGACATTGTTTTGGTCAATTTCAAAATCTACAAAAGCCATAGTTCTTAGATTTTCAAAGGAACTGTCAATTCTACAACCAGTACTCTTCATCGTTTGATTTTATCAACTGCAAATCCCCATCTTTTAAGGGGATTAAATTTTCACACCCCACAAGAAGCATAGATATGCATCTTCTTCAAAAGAAGCTTCAAATTTTGTGTTTTTAGTTATTTTTTGTTCATCGTGATGAAGAAGAAGACCATTATTTTATTTTTTTAAAAAGACTAACTTAGAAAACACAAAATTTTAGGAAAATAGATTTAGGATATATTCTCTTAACAAATTTTATAGATATTTAAGGAAACTATATATTTCAAAATTGGTAGAACATACTTTATATTGTCCGTAGAATTTAGAGAAAACAGTAGTTTAAGGTTTTTTTGGTAAACATGCTGCTGTAGGATAATGTTTTTTGGTAGATCAGTAATCAAATATTGGAAGAATATTGATTCATGGTAAATTATCGTTTTGTCTTTCTTTACTGTAGTTGAGAAATAAACGAAATGGTAGCCATATTTATTCTACCATAGTAGAAATTTATATAGTGGGACCAATATTCAATCTACAAGCTCGTAGACAGTAGCCGACGTTTTTTTACCTTCAATAGATCAAAATATGAAATTGTGTGCCACTAATATTTATTCAACCAAAGTATTTTTGATATGATGGTCTCTTGTTTCTAAACATTCTGTGTATATTTTCATATTTTCTGATTGTTAAAATAACTAATATGAATTTTTAAAGTTGGCTAGGAGTATCTAAATCTAAATCTAACAAAAAATAATTTATAGCAAATGGATAATATACTTGTTTTTCTATTCTTTGTTGACAATTTTTTCTTTTCTTTTTTAAAAGATGCGAGTATAAAAAGAAAATAAAAAGAGAGTTAAACTTGTTTTGTCAAGAAAAGAAAGAGATATTTGCCATAGTTATATCCAAAATTCTAAACAAAATTTGGTCATTGCTTCTACTTTTTCCAGAATTTACTGGGCTTGAACCCAAATCATAAAACGATAACCACACAAGCATATATCAGTAAACTATAGGTATTTGCTAAAAATTGTACACGTAGGTTAAATGCTCTTCCGACGTATGTAATGTCTTATTTTCTTCTCCCATTGGAGATCTGTGATAACTTAGCTAGTGCCATTGCACAGTTTTGGTTCAGCTCAAATCCGGAAGGAGGAATTGGCTTCAGGATGATCCATGAATTTAACCTCGCGTTACTAGCAAAGCAGCTATGGAGACTGGTGCAGAAACCGGACTCTCTGGTAGCTCGCGTGCTGAGAGGCAGATACTATAGATTGAGTTCGCCCTTGCGACTAATTAATGCTAGTATCCCATCATATGTGTAGACAAGCATATCGGCAGGAAGAGAGCTGCTACTATTAGGAATCAGACAAAAAGTTCACTCAGAATATGAGGTTAAAGTTTGGGAAGACCCTTGGATTCCTACTATACCTGCGAGACCAGCAATTCCTTTGGCACCGGTTCTACATCCAAATATGCGAGTGAGCGATTGATTGATCAAACAACGAAGAGATGGGATGATCGACGTTTACACGACTATGTTGCGGCAGATGATATATCACTTATTAGAAGCATGGCCAATAGTTCAATGCATCGACGGGACACGTACTGCTGGAGCTATACGAGGTCTGGACAGTATACAGTTAAATCTGGATACTGGGTTGCACGAAATATTTTGAGGAAGGAAGACGAACCTGAAGTATGCGAGCCTAGTATTACAAAGCTTCAAGCACATGCTTGGAAGGTCAGGGCACCTCAAAAGATTTGTCATCTTATGTGGCAGTTGATAACAGGACATGTAGCTGTCACGAGCATCTTAAACTATAGACACTTGAGATGTGACAACCATTGTCCTCGATGTGGGGAGCCCGAGGAGACGATTACTCATGCAATTTTTGAATGCCCACCTGCATTGCAAGTTTGGGCGCTATCATCCACGCCTACCAACCCCGCTCTGTTCCCGGTACAAAGCACGTACGCGAATATGGATCATCTCTTTTGGAGGAAGAATGCGATAATGGAACCAGAATTGGACAGGGACCCTTACCCTTGGCTAATTTGGTACATTTGGAAGGCTAGGAATGATAAGCTATTCAGAGGTATTGATAGGGACCCTTTGGAGCTAACGCGCTATGCAGAAAGTGAATGCCAAGCATGGTTCAAAGCAAATGAGATGGAAACTCCGAGCTCCATTGGGAACAGAGGAGAAGAAGACCAGGCCTTAAGCTTGGGTAATATATGCATGGTGGATGGATCTTGGACTTCTACAAATGTTTTCAGTGGCTGTGGATGGGTGCTGAATGATCATAGCGGACATAACGAGTTATTGGGGATGCGTAACTTTGATCGAGTGGAATCGGCGTTGCATTCAGAGTTGGAAGCACTGCGGTGGGGAATGGAGAATATGCTTCAACATTCGCCATGCCAGAGCTTTGGAACTGATTATAAGGAGATTATCGAGATGCTCAGGAATCCTCACGCAT